AAATAGGGAATGGTAGAGGGAGGTAGGGGTGGGGACACATATGGGGGATGGGGGTTAAGGTAAGGGGGTACAGGAGATGGGAAGGTTCGGGTGTTTGCAGTCTGCAAAAAAACATTGGAAAGTAAAGGAAAGTTTTAACTTCTATCACTGTAAAACTCCGCTTTATTTCAAGTACCAAGCAGACTTTTAAGTAGCTAGAGCAAGTTATACAAATACAATGTAAATTGCAGAACCTAACGGTACACCAAATGAACCATTCCCTTGTGGGGAAATTAATGTGCTTTGTGTATAAATAATTGTAAATAAACTATTGTTGCCATTTAAAAGAAGGTTGAAATAAAAAGCTGTATTACATCGCTGTGTACACCCTAAAATTCTACTGTGTCGTTTTTTATCATTGGTTTTACCTGTATTCTCGTTGAGCCATGATCTTACCAAATTTGATAAACCATCCAACTAAGGGGGTTGCATCAATGGAACTATCCCTATTCCGAGCTATTGAGCTAACACCGGTTACACTATAAAAGTTCAGATGCAATAACATATTTGTATTTTGCAGTTGAACATTAATTTCTCTCATCAAGAAATTTGAAACCTTTTATATGTTTAAAAACATGGGTGAGTGCTCACCTATAAACAAACCTATTTATAATAGGCAGCGGGTTTAATTTCTATATATACAGACAGTCAAGATAAAAAGAACTGAATTATTATATATTTCTTGTTTTCGTTGAAATTCTTTTATTGCATGTAATAAATAGAACCAACGCATTTTTTATTTAGTTTTGCAAATTCACTGCTAAAATTTTTCATTTGACAAATGAATGTTTGTAAATGAATTGGAGGATATATGAAGAAATGGGTAGGGGATATATGAAGGGATGGGTAGGGGATATATGAAGGGATGGGTAGGGGATATATGAAGGGATGGGTAGGGGATATAGGGGGTAAATTTACCTAAAATTCATTTATACTGCATAGCAATAGGAAAAGGCATAGTTTTTTTCTATTTGAAACATTGCAAAGTGTTTAAGGTTTTTATCTATTAAAATTTGTAATTCTTTATTTTTTAATGATATTAACCAAGATGATTTACTAATTTTCTTAAATGAATGTTGTCTTTTGGTGGTAGAATGTATGCAGATATATATAGTCAATCAGTAACTAAATAAATAGATATCGAATTTAAAGGTTGACAAAAATACTGAAATATAGACAGTGGTAAAGACAATTTGATAGAAAGATGGAAACAGAGGTAGAAAGATTGACATGGACTGGCAGTTGGATAGAAAGCTAGGCAGTTTGATAGATAGATAGACAAATAGACTTATATTGGTAGAGATATGACAGTTGGATTTAGATAGATAGACAGTTCTTTATATCGATAGACAGTTCTATAGATAGATAGTTCTATTGATAGATACAGTTCTATAGATAAGTTTAGTTCTACA